ACCATTTCTGAAAAGTGAAAGTTGTGTAATTTTTTTTCTTTCTGGAAAATGAAGATCTCTAGAGATACATTCATAGAGTTGTTGTAGGGTGGAATCAAATGGAATTAAAACGTGTCCAGTATTGAACCCTTCATAATTGTTGTGCTCATCCCAACTTTCATCATGTAAAACCGTGGCTAAGAATGATTTCATAATGTTCCTGCGTTGATAGATTGTTGATAATTGTTGTGCTCCTCCTTCTGATTTCATGTGCATTGATTTAATTGGTTTAAATTTTGTGGTTTCAATATTAAATATGATATAGCTAGATTTGGTGGTTTAAATTTGGAGGTAGATTTGGTAGTTTAAATTTTGTGGAAATATTTTAGAAATTATGTAGATTCTGTAGTTAAGGTGGTTCCAATATTAACTCGATAACATTGCTAGTTTAGGAGAGATTTAAGGGAATGTAGGAGGCATAAAACGTGGATGGGTAAAATGGAGAAAGACTTCAAGGGCAATATGGGCATGAAATGTGTAGAGGGATAAATAAGAAATTATACACCTCTCCTAAAATCTAGGAAACCAACTTTGGCCAACTTTGGCCATGCGATGCAATTTAGAAAAATTTTGGCCATTTTGCTTAACGGTAGCCATTCCTAAGGATTTCCCTAAAAAATTTGGTCTTCAAACTTTGAAAGTTTGAGTCCATTAATTACAGCTTTGAAAGTATCAAAATTTATTAAACACTTTTCAAAGTTTGAGCCCATTAATTACAACTTTGAAAGTATCAAAATTTATTAAACACTTTTTAAAGTTTAGAAATCGGGTAGATATAACTCTGAAAGTTTAGTAACCAAACTTATAATTTAAGCTCTTTTAAATATAAAGGCTAGAAAAACAGTAAGCAACGAGATATATAATTTAACCTTAAGAAAATGAGTATCATGGCTATATAAAAACGTAAAATACATGATAATAATTTAACATTTCGTGACTACAGTCGAGATGGATTGGTATGAGATTCTCCAAAACTTGACCGTATACATTAGGTCAGCTTTTATCATTTATTTTGATGTTTGGTAATGGTGGGTGACGTCATTATCCTAACTCAGATAAGTATGAAAACGAAACAACTACGGTCACACATTCATATACATATACATACATTCAGATTCAAAATGAAAGCAAAAAATGACACTTCCATTAGGATTTGAACAGGAACAAATAAATAACATTGCGATAACTATAATGTGAAGTTCACATGCATAGTTGGGTAAACAACTAATCTATCAGCCTAATAAATCTAAGACTAACATAAACATTCTTTGGCTGCTCACACAAGAAAATGGGTTCCAACAATCCTATCCCAAAGTTGAAGTTGAAGTTGAAGCAGCTGCTGTTGTTATATTCTGAAATGAAGTGATATTAGAGGTCACTTGTAGAAGTAGGGAGGATGCTGAAGACGAGGCAAAGCGCCGGTTTGAGTACTGTTGCTCTTGGCTGCATCATTTTCGAACACAGCTGCATCAGCAAAATGATACAGATCAAAATGATTGCTTGTTTTGCGTCCCACAAACCCTTCTATGGCTGAATAAGACTCCACGGGTGGCGTACGCGTAGGCGTAAGCGTAGGCATAGCTTGTTGAACAAAGCTTTGCCCTCCCGATATATCTTTGAAAGCCAATTCATGGGTTGACCCCATTTTGTAAATGGAAGCCCCGTTGTTGTCCCTTCCCCTTCCCATTCCCATTCCCCTAGGGAATGAACCAGCTTTGGAGATAATACTACTGATTTCAGCGGGCAAAACCGCGTTTTCAACTAAACCAGGTGCACGCAAAGATGAGGCAATTTGGTAATTACTTAAATGAGCAGCACGTCCACCATCCAATAGTTTTTGTGGCATTGTACTACTACTACTAAAAGCGGTATTGTCCTCCAAATATGCAGCTGCATTTTGTTCCAACAAGCCATTGACTGGAAAAGACATAGTAGGAAATCCTCCTTGACTCACTGCCATCCGTGATCGCTTTATTTCCTGACTCTGATACTTCTGCGTGCAAACTTCATCTGTTTTTCTCTTCATACTAACCTTATCTTCCATTCTTTTCTCAAGTTCTGCAATATCCTTCTCCAAGTTTTTTATCATTTCGTGAATTTTCCATCCAGGAAGAAACTTCACAGGATCCAACTTGTGATCTTTCAAACATTTGAGAACACATTTCAGAGAAGCCAATTTCTCTTCATTAACTCGTCTCTGTCAAAAACCATGCAACAAGAATGTAAGTGATTTCCATAAGAAAGAGAGGAAACGGCTAAATTGCCTAGGAGCAGAAAAAACCTCAGGAAAAAGAACTAAATTCACTAAGCAAATGCTCGAAAACACAGTACGCTAATTGTCAAAAATAAAAACTGCCTATCTCTACCATTCTTCCCAATGTATCTTCAGATAGTTAGACACTAAAGCAAACTAACAAATGGGCTTGACAATGAAAGCCCAAACATAACCACACAGTGACAGAATTTCTGAAGATTAAATTAATTCCCATCTAAAACCAACAATTTCATATCGGAATATCATGACTAACTGTAGAAGGTTGAGGTAAACATACCAGTTGCATGGTTGAACCCCGTACTTCGTTTATTTTTCTTTTCCACGTTTCGTCACACTCTTGGAGAAATGACAAAAGAATTTCCTGAGGTGAAAATGAATCCTCCAAACCAAAAGCATAAACAATATCAACAGCTTCAACATTCATACTCTTCTTCGTCATCCCCTTTATAATATCTGTTATATAATGGTCAAGCAGCCAAGTGAGAATGGGAATATCAATTAACATAAACTAGCAGACGCAATTAAACATATGCCAATCAGACTCCAAGGTTGAACATGCTACTTCCAGCTAAGGAAATTGAAATCATCCATGTATTACTAATTATGAATTTATCAACATATAAAATACCTAAAAGTCAAATTTGTGATTGTGGGGAAAAAGCAATTTAAAGTTAACAGGTAATTATTTTATTATTTTTTTTATAGGAAATAATTTACTGATGAGATGAAATTACAAAATATAAAACAAGAGAAAGTCAATCCCCAACCTAATGGAGGTTTCAACACCTCCAATTGGACAAAATAAAAGCCATGCTAAACTCTGAAGTTGAGGATGGTTTTACACCAATTGAGGACGAAAAGAGATAATGAATGATTCAAAGACACTATCAAAAAAAAATTTCCTTTACGTTGAATACTTAGTTGTTTCTTTTGTTCCTAGTGGACCATAAGAATGTCCTGATGAATTGGCTCCAAAGGATTTTCTTCTCTCCTTCAATGACAAAAAGATTGCATGCCATTTGGGTTCTTTGGTAAGGCAGTGAACCAGCTGAAGGTGGATAGCATCAAGTCCCAAAAGACAACAGTGAATGGGCATGTAATAAATAGATGACTTTGTGCCTCTGTTTCTTCCTTGCATAGAGAGTACCAATTTGAGGAGATGGCTATCCATAGTGTCCTTTTGTGTGAAGTTTGCCATGGGTATTCAAGCAGGATTAGGTAAGCTCCCAAAGAAAAAATTTGACCTTTTTGGGAATTTTCCTTCCATATATTTCTGTAGAGGTTGATGCTATAGGTTTAGACCCGTAGCCATGAGATCTTGTGTGAGAGTTTGTGGAGAAACACCCACCACTGTCCAGTTTCCAAACCACAAATCTTTTCTGTGAATGAAGCGTAAAGTTGATGGCTTATGGGTTAGCACTGTCCACTCTTGTATCTCTGTGTCTTGCAGATTTCTTCTAAGCCCCAATACCCAAAATTCCCCATCATTTGAGCATGTCTCTTGAATGGTGGCCTCTTTTTTGCTAGAAAGAGAAAATAGAAGAGGGTAGGAGATTCTGGAGTTTCATTATCGATCCATAGATCTTTCAAAAAATATATGCTAGAACCATTGCCATCAACACGAGTGACTCAACTATAAATGAGCTTTTTTAGAGCGAAGATGTATTTCCATGGTTTTCTTGAGTCTTGATGCATACAGGGTTTTGAGTCAAGAATTTTGGCCAATATGGGCGGCACTCCATAATGCACCTTTCCCCATACAATCTCCATGTCCACCTAGCTAAAAGGGCTTGCTTTTTCTTCTCTAGGCTAACAATTCCGAGGCCACCTTCTTAAAGGGAGAGCCTTACCTTTTCTCGCTTAAGATGGAAACCACCTTTGTCATTGTTATCTTTCATAAGGAACCTCCTGCAAACCTTTTCCATAGATAGAGCAACTTTCTTTAATAACTATAAAAGAGACAGATAATACAACGGGAGATTACTGAGGGTAATTATTTAGTGTGGGTTGGATAAGGGGCAAACTACCTCCATTAGATATATAGGAACAAGAGAATCTTTGATAGTCAAAGTTCCTTATGGAAAGAAGCTTCATGTGGCTTCTTGGTGTAATCTTTCCAACACTTTCCAAAACTATTTAATGTGGCATATAATTTCTGTAACAAGGTGCAAGTATTGTTTTTTATGGGGGCTACCTTGCTATGTAAATAGGAAGATTGGTAGCTTGTGTTCTTAAATTGTTATGGGTATAGCCTTTTATTTTGAGCATCTGCCTTGTTAAGCTTCTTTTAGGAGTTTGGTATCTTGTAACTTTTCAAATATCAATGAAAAATTTGTGTTTCTTGTGAAAGAAAAGAAAAAGAATTGGCTGCCAAGTTGAAGAACGTTTTTTAGAGTCTTTGATAAAACCATCCTCAACAAATTTATGCTTTCTCGAAGAATTCACCAGCCCTGCCACCCCTTTTGCATTAAATACTAATGAAAGCATTTAAAGTGTCAGTTCCCAATGATTTAAATGTGTATCCTTCGAACTCCCAACTGTATAAGTCAATATGCCAGCCTTCTCATTTAAGTTTGGCCTAGGAAGCTTCAACTGAACTGTGGTCTATTAGTCAATCATCTAATTCACCAACTTCAGTGGAAAATAAACTACACATACCTAATCGACCACATTATATTCACAACTGTCACTTGGTGCAAGCTTAGCAAATTGTTTTGCAATTATTCATATTTATATAAATTATATATGTGCACACTGATGGCGCTTTCCTTGTCCCCCCTTTTAACTTTTGATGAGGCCTTCCTCCCCGTTTTCTGTAAATTTTATTACATTAATGAAATATTGTCTCTTTCAAAAAAGTAAATAAATAAATTTTCCAGCTTCTAGTTTTTCCACAAAATTTTTTTTCCTTTTGCAATCCCTGATAACTCAACAGCCTTTTCACCTTCTTTAGAGGTGCCGTAGAAATCCCAGTCTAAGTTTCTACCTGGTAAAATTGCATTATAGACGCCTTCATCTGCTCCACCTTTTTCAAGAAAAGCATCAAACCCTTCAGCTACTCTCATTCCCCTTACTACTCGTTCAATAAAAGCTACAACCCCCTCAACTACTCTGGAAACAACCCCTTGGCCTTCGTTTTTATTTTTCCGAGAGGCCAAAGAATTTCTAATCTTCTTTTAACAAGTTCTTCATCAGCACTAAAAGTAATTGGAGACATTTTTTATAGGCCATAGTAAAGAAAGCATATTCGAGAAAGAGAGAAAGAGAGTGGGGGCATAAGGAAATAGAATGAGTGTAGTGGGTCCTAGTTCTTTAAATAGCTGTATGGGTATTTTGAAAATATGGTAAATACACCCACGGTAGAAGGTAAGATATCTTTTTATCATTTTGTCTAAGGACTATTTGAGAGAGGTATGGGAGCTCTGTAATCTTCCCTTGGCCCCTTGCAATACCTTCTTAATATCAATAATACAGGAGAGTTCTATCATTTTGGTACTAGCACATGTTCCTAGGAAACGTATACTAGAAAATAAATGGAAAACATAATTGAACAAAGGTTGTCTGGAGCTTTGAGCATAGTGGAGGAGAATCAGAATTAGATAAAGAAAGAGATGACACTACATAAGGAAGATATGAGGTTGTTGCACGTAAGCTACATTTTCGTGAACAAGAGAAGATGAAAGAGGATAAAAGGAAAAGCACCAGCGGAAAAGGCAACAGAGACCATTGGGGAAGCCAGCAATGGGGTCTCTAGTGACAGCTCCAACCTATTGACAAATGCTTTCACTCTGGTTTTCAATTTGTGATTGCAAAAATTTGAGGTGCCAATATTCGATGGGACAAACCTAAACGGATGGCTTCATAGAGTTGCTCAGTACTTCACAATCAATCATCATACTGATAAGGAAAAGTTAAAGGCAATGATTCTGTGTTTGGATAATGAGGCTTCCCCTGCCATCAGTGGGAACAGGAAGAAAAGCCGAGACCAATTGAAACGTACCTAATGTGGGAAGATTTTTCGAGTTTATTGTTGAGATGGTTTCGCCCGACTCAAGATGGATCCTTGACAGATTATCAAAGTATGCTCATTTTATCCCCCTCAAACACCTCTTCAGTGTGGTTTTGGTGGCCCAAATTTTCCTCAACAAGGTTGTTTGATTGCACGGGGTTCCATCTAGCATGGTCTCAAATTGAGACAAATCTTCATGAGTTTATTTTGGGAGGAACTTTTTCATTGTTAGGGAACGTCCCTTTGTTTTAGCATCGTCTACAACCCCAACCAAAAGAGGTTGTGAATCATAGTCTAGAGACTTATTTATGTTGATTTGCGATGGAATCCCCCTCTAGGTGGATGAAGTGGCTCTCTTGGGCTAAGTTTTGTTATAACACATCATTCCACTCGGCCACAAAATTGTGGCCTCCTTTTGAGGTGGTTTATGGGCATTCTCCCCCATTGTTTTGGCTTACTCAACAGGTACATAGCTAGTTTATTCCATCGACCAATAGCTAAGAGATTGTGATCTCATGTTACAAACTTTAAAGGCTCACCTCCAAGCAGCCCAAGAACACATGACTGCCCAAACTAATGGCTAATGCTAAACAGCAAGAGTAACTCTGGAAATTGGGGAATGGATTTACTTGAAATTAAAACCTTATCGGCAAGGGTTTAGGGATATCATGCTAAAACTAAGTTGGCTCCTCATTCTGTTGGGCCCTTTGGTATCACTAAAAAATTGGGCTGGTCGCTTATTAGTTCACCCTACCGATTTTCTGTTCATCCACCCGATCTTCCATGTATCACAGTTGTGCAAGGCTATTAGCCATACTTTACCGGTTTTTCCTTTGCCCATAAATTTGTCAGTTGACGGGGTTTTCACCGTCCAATTGGCAGAAATTATGGGAGTCTTCACAGCAGCTGAACCAATACCGCACCAAAGGTCTGATCCGTTGGGAAGGGGCCACATAGGACGAAGCCACGTGGGAGCTTACAAACGCATCTCACTACAATCTCTAGAGTTTCAACTTTCACCCTGAGGACGATGTGTAACTTTGGGGGCGGGGAAATGATAGGCTCTAGTAAAGAAAGTGCATTCAATAAATTGAGGAAGAGAGAGTGGGGGGCATAAGGAATTAGAATGAGTGTAGTGGGCCCTAGTTCGTTAAGGGGTTGAATGGGTATTTTGTAAATAGCATAACTACACCCACGGTAGAAGGTAAGGGTATCTTTTTGTCATTTTGTCTAAAGACAGTTTGGGAGAGGTATGGGAGCTCTCTAATCCTCGCCCCTAATGCATTTTGAATATCAAAGAGTTCTATCACTTTTCTCGTCTCTAGATTCTTTCTCAAGTAGACCTTTGGAGAACATATCAAATTCGTTGCCATTTATGCTTTCTTCAACCACATCTCATGTTCCAAATATACTTGCCATCAGTTTGGCTCTTCATCGTAAACAAAACAGAATTTCATTAAAAAAAATATATGCACATCACTAAGGTGGCTGCACACAAGGAATCTTGCCCATCTACGTTAGCAGGGACCCAACCTTATTTTACACGAGGGAAAAAAAAACAAAAAACTAGCATCCGTTCAGATGAATGAAAATACAAATGATAACAAATTTTACAAAGTTTGAAGCTATAAAATGAACTGAAATGCAGATAAAACTATCAGAATTCCATACAAATATCATGAATATCTATACAATTTCCATGAAAATTACCCCTGTTCCAACCCAAGCAAACATAAATAGAAATAGCTCTAACACCATTCTTCCAAATAAGTTTTGCCCTTCTCCTCAATCCTAGCAATTATCTGCTGAAGGTTTTGTAAAAAACCTCGGAGGAGCCCAAGAGATGGCAAGAAAAACTCATGTAGGACATTTTATGTAAGGAGAAAGGAACTAGTCTGATACTAACAAATGTATCAAACATAATGAAAAAATAAACATATATAAGAGAACCACAAAGTCAAACAATTTAACAATGGAAGGTAAACGTGGTGAAATTAATCCATTTAGAGACGTGTATTCTTTAGAGAAGTGTTGGAACTACATACCAGGAATACATGTAAAAAGAGCACGAGAACGGCGAAGGGCGTTGGATATTCCCTTCGAATTACTCGAGCGCAAGAGATCCCTTAAATCATCGTTTGTAAACACAGTAGGAATTCCAAAAGACGCAAGAAAAAGAAGCAAACCCCTGGCATCTATGTCACTAGCCTGACAGGAGCCGGTTTCACTAACAAGCCTTTTTCTCCAGGCAATGGCAGCAAGGTCAGCTTCAACCTTCAAGGAGGGCTCAATTTGGGTGTTCTCAGCAGCACCCGAGAGCAGAAATAGTTCTAAGATGAGGATGGAGGCTTGCCTAGCAGGAATCATAGGAGAATCCTTGGTGTAGGCTTTGCTGCCCTGGAGATAGAAGCGGCCAATGCAATCGAACACGAGTTTTGCTGGGTTGGGGGCGCATTTCAGAGCCACAGGAACTTCATGTCGGAGTTTAGCGAGGTCGGAGAGATTAGAAACTATGTACTTGCGCAGGCCACGGCTGCACATGGTCTGGCAGAGATGCTCAAGCTCGGAGGATTCTGATTGCTTCTCTGTGGATTCTTTTGCACAAGTTTCAGGGTCGTTGCTTCTAGGGCTAGGGGAAGAAACGGGATGTGGATGTGGAAGTGGGTGTCCTCCATTTTCTGCGTTTACGACGGCAGCAGAAGAATTGGCAATTTTTGTATCTGTGACAGAGAGCGTTTGATGGTGAGAGTTGGACGAGGAGACAATGGCGTTGTGAATGGAGAGTAGATGGTCCTGCAATTCATGGAAGCGGCACTGGAATGTACGAATTGCGCTCGAAAGGCTGCCAAGTTCATCAACATACGATACTTTCGGAAATTGAAATTGAAATTGCGGTTTCTGAGGCTCTGATTCTGATCCCACTTCTGCCGGAAACTGGAAACTGTTTCTGTCGCCACCTTCAGCGGCAGCCATCGGGACATTCGCCATGAGTGAAACGGCCCTTTCCTTCTCAAGAGGTTGAACTTCAAAGTAAATTACAGTCGGAAAGTTTTGAAACTGGCAATTTAATATGACTTTTAGAAAAGAGGAGGAAGACAGAGATAGGGATTATGGAAGGAGAAAGATGAGAAGAAAAAAGAAATTAGGGTTTTTTAATAAATTTTTAATTTTTTTTGTCTTTGAAATAAAATTTGTTTAATTGATTTTAAATATATTTGTGAAAATTGCCACGTAATAGTAAAAAAGTTTATATAATTAATTACTTAGGATAAATTACTAAATTATCTTTGAACTTTGCCATTTAAAAGTTTAATATTATCGAACATGACAATTAATGTGAAGCTTATGTTTGATTGAGTCTAAAAAAGAAAAGAAATGTAGAATGAGCTATGAATATACTCAAGTTTACCCTAATCCCCTTATGAAAATAATAGCTTCTCCCACATTTCCTCGACTTAATTTATACGAACTTCCACTTTAATTTTCAGGTCGTTGTAGATTATACCACGTCAAATTTTTATTCAAAATATTAATAAATATTTGTTTAACTGTATTTTTTGAACATTTATGGAATGTCAAATGTAGTATTGAAACTTTTGAAGAGATAGGAGTATTTTTTAAAGAAAGGGCAAAGTTTTGGGATTTCCTTCTTTTTATATAATTTAGCCTAGTTTTTAAATTTTCCTATACTTTAGTTCTATTTTAGTTCGTGTGTTCTTTCAAATATTTAAATCCTACGATGAATTTATTGTTAACTTTTTCTTTTAAAATGTTGGACTAATTTTAAAATTTATTGAAAGTATAAAGACTAAATTTAAACATTTGGAAGTATAGGAACTAAAATTGGGATAATTCTTAAAGTACGCGGACCAAAATTGTATTTTTACCTTAAATTTTTAATGATATTTAACATTGACATTCATGTCTTGTCCATTATAGGCACCCAGTGAGGCAAATTAATTACCAGCACACAACATCATGCATCAGTGTAGTGCTTGAACACGTACACTCTCTAAAACTTAAGTTAGAACTTAGTCCAAACTGGTGTCGAGTCGAGCTTATTTAGATTGCTTAGAAATTGCATACCTTTATGAGAGAAGAACTCTGTCTTTTATAAGAGAGTTTTAGGAAGCATTGCCCTTCGTAAAATATCTGTTTTTTCCACATTGGATTTTCTTTCATGTGTTATCGGGAGGAATTTGATTGATTTTTGGGCACTGGTACCCCAAGTCATTCTCGAAGTGGACCTGACAGTCGTCTGTCATTCCATCCCTGCATGGGCAGAGAAAAGTGACAATCTTGAGGGTACTATACTCGTTTGAACTCCACATGTGAGGCGAAACTCAAACATCTCGAGCAAATAGTCCAACTTAATAACCTTTTTCCACTATAGGGCTCCATACCTAATGGTTGGTGAATTTTTCACTAGTAATTAACTAGTGGATGTTGCATTGTTAACTAATTTAGTAACCCTAGTACAAGTGTACACTATATCATGTAGCAAGTGATAAAAAAGATTGTATCTACCAGGATTGAGTAACTAATATATATGCTCTAATTTTACTTAAGAAGTGGGTAACCAAACATATATATTTTTGTGCAAAAGTTACTAACATAAAACGCATAAAAAATAGTAATCTAAAATCGTACTAAAACGAGTTGTAATAAAGAGAACAATAGGGGTTATGTCCTTTTACTATACTACTACTGATTGATGCTCTAGTGTTGATGCAAAAATCTACCAAGGCACGGAAGACGACTTGGGAGGTCAGGCGGCTGCACTTGGAGCGATTCCTGGGGTACTTGCAAGGAGGTAAACTAGAGAAGAACTCGGAGGAACCCCACCGAGCGACCTCTAGTTTATGCTTCGGATTGGTCCTTCCCTTGCTCTTAGCAAATGAGCCCTTGGCGTTTGGTTCGATTTCTAAGTATTTGGTGCCGACCTATTAGGTCGGCTTCATTGCGGTTCCCAAAACAAGTCGGCCACAAACAGTTGGACCCCCAACATTGGCCCCCTTTTAGGTCGGGTGACGGGTCACTCACCTGAAAGACGTTGCAGGGGTGTTGGCCGAGTTGTTCCTACCCTTGCTCTGGATTGATTGCAG